ATGCAACAGCTTACAAGGCTGATGAATTGACCACTATCGTGCTCTCGCGATTAGAGCCCTATCTCGAATTTGCACTAGTCTCTAAGAGCCAGTGAAAAAAGAAACCCGTCTCTTGTATAATGCCCCCCCCCCCTCCCCCCCCCCCCCTCCCCACCCTGCCGGCTTGGAAGCAAGCTCATGTGCAAGTTTGGTGATCCTTTGATACTGCTTTTGTCCATGTCAGAATCAAAATCACAGTTCTTGCTGCCCTTTTTTTTGATTGGTTGCAGTAAACTTTAGGCTCTGTTTCGTTGCTTTCTTTGCTTTTAACATATTGCCCTCTCTTGAATAGTGCCCTATCTTGAATAGCGCCCCATCTGTGGTGGACATTAAAAAATAGTGCACTTATCGCTCGAGTACGCTACTACTCAAAGTGGTTTACACGCCACAACTATTTGACGTATTTTTTTCTGACCAATGAATTCCTACTTGTTGGTCTTTTTTTTCGATATTTTGCTGCACACACATAACACCACCTACTTCGGCATGCACTGGTTATTGGTAAAAACCCAGGAGAATGAAGGAAACGTCAAGACGAGACTAAGGTTGCGCTAGGTGGACCAATTTCAGAATTTTAATGACAACCATGTTGGTACTTTCTCCGACTTTTTTTGACTAATTTTCGCTCCTGTTCTGTTGCTCTCTGTGTGGCTCTCTCGGCATGAAAGACAGACAGATGACATTATTGGAACCATAGGAAGGCATGATTCACATTATCGAAAGACGACAGTCATCGCAAGCCAAAGATGTCGTGCTGTAAAGCAATGGGAGTGACGATGTTTTGCATTTTGTCCAACAGGCACATTGCCATGCAACAAAAGAACTGGGCTAACTGCTCGTCGTTTACAGTATTTGGTTCACAATGAGAAAGAGAAGGGCAAAAGTACTGGGGAGCAAGAATAGTATGACAGGGATAGTAGCTAGCTTTTCTGGAATCTGCGTCATCCCCGAAAACACCAGCCAAAGTGCGAACAGGACAGCAAGATGTCAAAACTCCATAACGCAAAGAAGTGACTCACTTCGCTCAGCACAGCAAAGCTAAAAAGTGAAAAATCGAAGTCGTCGCCCGCTACCGCGTATTCAACGTGGAAGATCTTGGTCTGTTCAGCAGCCTCCACTCTGATGTATCCTTGGTCGCATACAAGTTGCAGTTGTGAAGTGATGATATGACTACAATGCAGATAACATGCAAAATGTTTGGCTTTTCCTGTACGCGTCGTCGTTCCGGGGCACCCTCGAGAGCGGAGGCGATGAGTACCAGCGTCACCACGGTGTCCCCCTAGATTTATATTTATTTATTTACTGTTTGCACTTCATGGCACATAATGAAAATAGCCAATAAAAAGGAAGCAAGCGTGAAACCAACCACGGACCGAAGCAAAGATGCAAAATAAAGAGAGACAAAAGGAAAAAAGAGAAAAATGAAGAAGAAAAAAGAAAGCAAGAGCAGTTCAACGAATTGTTATTTCTGGATATGCTTGTGGAAAAACTAGTAGTGATTTTCTGACAACCGTTTATCGAAAGCCGACGTTTACTGGTCAGTACATTGTATATGACTCATATTGTTCGTCTCAATCTAAAGTAAACTTAGTGCGTAACCTTGTAGATCGTGCGAAGCGTATTTGTTCGTCCTGCAAGCTGCAGGAAGAGCTTGATTTTCTCCGTACAGTTTTTGTGAAGAATGGGTACCCTGAGTTGTTGTTGCAGAAGTTGTTGAAAGTCGAACTAACTACGAAGGCTCCTATGGTTGGTCCTGCTCGTTGTACCCGTATATTTATGTTTGCCGTGGAAAGGGCAGGAGTCGGCTAAAGTTTGTAGTGCAGTCAAGTCTGTTGTTCGTCGAACATACTACGCAGTACACGTCGTGCCAGTCTTTACGACGATGCGTGCGTTTACGGTGCAGAAGAATGTCCTACCAGCCCATCACCGTAGTCATCTTATTTACAACTTTGAATGCTGACAATGTGCTAGTCGGTATGTTGGTAGGACTGTTCAGCACCTGAACGCACGCATCAAACAACACACACCATATCACATACTTCCACCTTTCGCACAACAATAAAGACCGAAACGAGGGCGACCTAGAAAGCAACCATTAACCACACAGCCGTTACCTACACAACCCGCGGATCCTAGCTCACAAACTGTGCTTGCTCCGCTGTCGCTGGTGGCGGTGGTGGAGGAGAATGGGCGTGGTGGCTCATCGGGTTGGTTTCTGTCGCCGCCTTTGCTCCTGCCGTCGGTGGTTCCTTCGTCAGTGCCCCCGGCGGCTTTGGCTGAGGCGGTGCCACTTGCGGTCCCGGTACCACTGCCTCCTCCTGATCCTCCGCCATCGGTTCTTGCGGCTGTTGAGCTTGCCAGTGGCAGACCGCGAGCAACACTGACAGCGGCATTAACACTACAAATGCCGACTCAAAAAGACCCACCTTGCATATCAGCAGCTCCCGCACCAACACCAACAGAGCAATCTACAGCAACCACAACTAATCCACCATCCAAGCCCACAATTGAACGACCAAGACGATCAACAGCCAACTACAACAGAAGCTACGCACTCAACGGACAAGGGCGAAAGGAGGGACGTGACAGCAGGGTGACGGCCGAGTTACGTTCAATGGACCTGGTCAGGCGGGATGGATGAGACAGAGAGAGTGCAGAGGAAGCTTAGGATGGAACGGACGGCGAAGGGAGCGGTGAGTCGGAGAGTAATGATGGGAGTGATGGTGAGAGTGCCGGTGAGAGTGTTAGTGTTGTGGGTAGGTTTCGTGGTAGCAAGTCTTCAGTGTACAATCATCTGCTAGCTAGTCCTGATTGTTGCAATTCGTATTCCGACTCTTCGTTCACTGTATTGTGCCGTGGTCATCATGGTTATGGACTACAGTTAAAAGTGTTGGAAGCTATCTATCAGCGTCTGTATAATCCTAATTTGTGTGTACAGAAAGATAGTATAATTGGGTTTAAATTGTTCAATTGTAACGTGTCGTGTTTTGGTGCGGCCAAGCTTGGCTGTTAATTAATGTTCTAGGTGAAATGTACTGTTGTTATGTGTTATCACTTTGTCCTCCCTTCATTCTTTCTCTTGTTTGTTCATTTTTCCATTTGAAAGTTTATTGTTAGCACACGCATTCGTTGTTGCTCTCGCCTTGATTGTTAAAATTCACACTTGTAAATTTCACTACTGTTGTTCTTAGTGTTATTTCTCTAATTTAGATTTTCTATAATAGTTCAATTTTGTTTCAGTGTCCTTTAGTACGACAACTTGTTTGAATTCATATTTTTTCTCTACACCATTTCTTTTCATCGTTCTATTGCACAATCATCGTCTCCACCGTTTTTCCATTGCATGAATAAAGTACACAAATGTCGGTTCAGCTCATTTTATTGATTGCGGTTATCACACACACGCACGCACGCGCACGCACGCACGCACGCTTGCAGGCACGCACGCACTCTCTCACACACACACACACACACACACACACACACACACGCACGCACGCACGCACGCACGCACGCACGCACGCACGCACCCACACACACACACACACACACACACACACACTACTACTACTACTAGCAGCATGACTGCCCAGAGGGGCAAGTGTCACCCCTATTGAAAGGGGACCAGAAAACGGGACACGGATCACAAGCAGGACCGCGAATGTCTGGCTAGGTCCTGCTGCCGGCGGAAATTGCGTTTACAACGTGGGCAGCTGAGGGGCAGAGCTGCTCTCTCAGCAGCAGATGGTCTCGCACCACGATTGCAGTTGTGACGCTTGAACCCGGCCGCAGAACGGAAGCATCGCTGACATGTTGGGCAGTGCTGCTGGCAACAAGCTGAAAGTGGCACAGACAGACTGACTGTTGGTGTAGGAGAACTCGTGACAGGCTGGCATCGATGAACAGAGTAGCCACCCTTGCTGCGGAACCACCTCTGGCAGTTCTGGCATTGCACTGATCCACGCTGGAGCTGGATGGGAAGCCGTCTCTGAGTGGTGCACTTGTGCCGCGTCCTATCTGAGACCCGTGAGAAGTTCCGGTCACACACTGCGCAATGCACAGACTTGGGCATGGTGGAGCTCGACTGAGGGGCAACCCGTACTTCCCTCCACTGTTGGCGGTCCTGAGCAAGGATGAACCACTGAGATGGCTGTTGCAGTGCAACCTTGAGGTCGGTCATCACCGTGTCTTTCCACCGTCGCCGGGGACCACAAAACGGCCGAGGCACAGGCAGCCACCCAAAGAGGAGTTGGAGGGGGGTGCGATCCTCATCCATACGCGCAACGTGCCCAGTCCATTCCAGACGCCGATTGCGGAGGCGTGTAGACATCAGTACTGGGTCTCCCCAACGGTTCCGCAGGTCTGTGGATGACAGCCGCTCGGACCACTGACGAGGCTTGGTGATGCTGAGGACAGTCCGGATGCATTGATGGTGGAATTTATCCAAACTTCTGATATCCCGTTGGAGTGGGGTCCAACACTCTCCGCCATACAGTAATATTGAGGAAACGCAGGCCATGTACAGGTGGCGTTTACTAGAGAGCACACACACACACACACACACAACGGTTCTGCCTGTATGGCCTCATCAATACAGCACTGGGGGAATGGGGCTCAGCCTGATAGCAATGAAAAGTGCAAAGCTGAAGAATTGAACAATGCTACTCAGCCTGGTTTACAGCGCACAGCTTTTTGAAGTGTTTTGCTTTCCCGGGCAGTGAATTCCTAAACCGTTTCTTGATATGTGTTCCTTGTTAAGGCAATACGTAATCAAACACCGTGCGCATAGCACTGTATGTTATAAAGACCACATGGATAACATATTCAACATTCATTATTATTTTTTCTCCCCTTATGTGAACAGATTGTATGATGAATACTGATTGGCCAACAAGCTAGTGTGATTTTCACCCGGTCAGGATTGTTAACTTATCAATATGGTCTCTACTGTGTATCTACAGGTTGCAACACAAAATCACTATAGGTCTATTCATGATACGTCTACATCATTTGGTAGCAATGGTAATGGCAGGGTGCAGTTCAAGGATCCACGTGGTATCACAATCAGCAAAGATGGAAAGGTCTTTATTGCTGATACTTACAATCATCGGGTGAAGGTTAGTTTATAGAAACCAGCACCCACATCTATCTCAATACACAGTTTTCATCATCTTCTTGATGTATAGCAAGACATGTAAACTGCAGCTGCTGTATTGCTCTACAGTAAGTCATTGGTCTGGTAGATAGTGTTATCAATCCACATTTCCTTACGATCGTTACTCCTGTCCTAAAAGCCATCATACCATAGGAAGGTGTGAAACTGTAGCGGGCCGCAGTCTCTCTCGGAGGCAAATGCACACGGGTCTCAGTGAACACACTGTAACGGGAAATTGAAATGTAACTATAACTGACAATGAAATTAACTGGCAATGGAATTAACTGACTGGCAACTAAATTAACTAACTGGCAATAAAAGAATCGTGAGCAGCAGCTTTTATGCAAAGGCAGACTCCGTACGCTAATGTACGGGGATACGCTAACGTATGGGGATACAGTACGGGGATATGCTAACGTACGGGAATACAGTAACATACGGGGATATGCTAACCTACGGGAATACGCTATACGCTACACCTCCCCTCTCAAATACAATCACGTCCTCGTGATTCGAATACTAGGTGATAGCTGGACACCAACAACTGGCTGTTATTTAGAAGAAACTGGCGGCATGCATGGTCGCGTCGGGACAAACTCGACGAAAAAAAGTGTAATGGGGAGAGGTCGGGGAGAAAAGCACGTACATCAGGGAGGCGGTGGCGGTACAGCACAGTGAGCAAAACAGTTAAAATCGTGAGCGTACCAGGGTGGGCAAGGAGCAAGACAGCAAGGCATATCAACACAGTGCTTACGTAGGTCCCGGAAGAGCAGGATGCGGCAGGGCTAGCGTCCGAGGTACTTAGTACTGCCGCCGGTAGTTTCCCGCCTGCGCAGGACGACGGGCACGGCATTCTCGGCTTATGTGACCCTGTCGGCCACATGACCAGCAAGTGACAGGTGTGCGGCCTTGCGTCTGCGGGGGCTGTGGTAGTTGGTCAGGTCGGGACCGACGAATTGGTCCTGGCAGACTGGCCTCCAACGTAGCCAGACGGTCTAACACAGCTTTCAGTTGGTCTGTCACCGTGTCGAGTGGCTGGGAAACAGCAAAGGCAGGGATCGGCACAGGTTCCGCGGCGGGCAGTTCGGCAGCTAGGATTGCCTGGTGATGGAGCGCGGCCTGGAGGGCCCCGTCTGTCGTTTGCGGGTTTAGGTTTAACTCCCGAACGCGGACCCGCATGCCCCGTGAGTCAAGCCCGGAGATAAACTGGTCTTTTGTTAGGCTGTCGAGGTCCCCCGCGGCCATCTGGGGGTAAGCTTGCCGGGCCAGGGAGCGAACCGCCTCCCAGAAAGTACCCAGTTGTTCGTCTTTGGCCTGGCGACGAGCTTGAAACGTTGCGCGATAGAGGTCGACGCGCTGCGCTGGATCAAACCGAGCTTGCAGCGCCTGGACTAGCTGTTGGCGGCCTCCGTTCTTAGTAGCCGCTGGGAGTGATTGGTAATACAGCTGGGCCTCGCCTTCCAGTGCGAGGCCCAGGAACTGCATCTCTTGAACGTTGTTCCAGTTGTTTACCGCGGCGACCTGGTCGAAATGCATCAGCCAGGACGCGAAGTTGTCCTGCAGGCGACCTTTGTATTTTTCGGGCTGCACATGGTACGCCCCTCTCGGTGGTTGGGCAGGAGCGGGCGGAGCTGGGGCTGCAGCGGGCGTAGCGACGGCTACCACAGCAGGTACATTTGGTTGAGCCATCGAATCGGAGAAAGTGTAAAGTAACAAAGTTATGTATAGAATGAAACAAAAAGAATTTACCGCTGCCACCAATTTGTATCGGGCCGCAGTCTCTCTCGGAGGCAAATGCACACGGGTCTCAGTGAACACACTGTAACTGGAAATTGAAATGTAACTATAACTGACAATGAAATTAACTGGCAATAGAATTAACTGACTGGCAACTAAATTAACTAACTGGCAATAAAAGAATCGTGAGCAGCAGCTTTTATGCAAAGGCAGACTCCGTACGCTAATGACGGGGATACGCTAACGTATGGGGATACAGTACGGGGATATGCTAACGTACGGGAATACAGTAACATACGGGGATATGCTAACCTACGGGAATACGCTTTACGCTACAAAACGATCTCTTGGAACCCCATATTCTATTTGCATATCGGAGCTTTGGGATTCGATATAACAGTGTATACCAGCCCGAAATCGGGTTTTCCTTTGCTGGAAAAAATGTCGTAAAAGAAAACTGCCCCACACGTGATCAATCAGCTCAAACACGGAAACTTTAGCTTCTTCTTCATCTTTTTTTCTTTGCTCGAGGAAATGCTTTTTAGAAATGTTCTGTTGTCTTGAGTTTTCGGTATGGAATACGCACCTCTGGATGTTTTTTCACTAGTCCAGCGGGCTCTGGGCCAAGCCGTGCGCCCACTCGAGAGGCGTTTGGCTTCTTTGGAATGCCACAATAGTCGATGCGGGTGTGAGATTTGGAGTTCGACTCTAGGCAAGAGCATGACTCGCGGATCGTGGATGGTACATGTACCCCGGAAACTGATCCACTCCTGATCCCAGTTGCTTCACAATTGGCTGAGTCCTCTTTGGCGAGGTCTACTCTGCCCGCTCATGCTTCTAGAGCCGGTCTTGAGCATACGCGTGGTGGGTTCGTTGATGGCGACCTGGTAAATAATCCCACCCTGAAGCCACTTGGTGCTCGTTCCACCTCGAGAGAGCCACCTAGGCTACAACCTCTTCCCTGAAACCTGTGTGATCCTGAAGATCCAGCAGGTCTGGCACAATCAAGCCACCTGCCGCTTGTACGACGCTATCTGGTGTGGCAACTGATGATTTGGACTCTCAGTCTGGTAGCACACATAGTCTGGTGCGTGGGTCCCAATACTGACTGGCCAGCGGATGACGGGGATGAGGAGGAGAAAGGGTTTACCCGATATGTTTGGTACGAAACTGCCAAGCTTCCCAAGTCATGTCTTCCCTCAGAAGTCCGACGCAAATCCGGGCAGGCCTTTTCCGGCTGCTACCCTCGCCCGGACACTCCCGCTGCATTAGTCCTGGCTTCGGATGCGCAAGTCGCCCGCATGGTATATTCTGCTGACAGGAAGCCACCTCGTTCAGAGGCTCGGCCGGATAGGCCTCAGTACCTGACGCAGCCGAAGTTATTGAATGTGGTGGATCCCGTTGTGCTTCATTCTTGAGGTACAAGCAAAACCCTGACTTCGGTGAGCAAGGTCAGCAGATGATCCAGGGCGGGAGGAAGGAGTTTGGGAGTGGTCCAGCAAACCCTTGAGGGGGGTCGGGGGATGTCCCCCGGGACAAATATTGAAAATTTATGTGAAATAGGGCGAATTTGGGCATCTCGTGAGGCTCCAGAAAATGCAGAAAATTATAGTAAAAGAACACAAAACTACTTTTTTCCATAATATTAAAACCATACAGTACCGGTGATGGTAACATCCAAGACATTGAATACTGTCTGTAAGGAATAGGTAAAAAAGCGATCTATAAAGATTTTAGTAACTATGATCTCGTGTCGACTTCTCCATGTATGCGATACGATCGACTCCCTCGATCGAAAGAGGAGTCTCTTTCGATCGAGACTCTTCTGTCTTGTGCGATGTTTTCGCTCGCTTCCAATGTTGCCTAGTGCGTGCATTTCAATAGGAGTGACTGGTGGTACTTCTTTGGTGGAAGGTGAGCTCATGAGGTCGTGATGCAGTCTGCTTGTCACGTAGTCCTGAGCCACTTCGAAGCACATCACACGCCGGCAGCACAGTCGAGTCATGTACCTCTGGATTTTTTACACCGGTTTTGCACGAATCACATGGACCATCCAGTTGGGAAAGTGGTCCGGCCATGGCCGGACCAGCCTGACCGGTTCCGCCGGCCCTGAGATCCAGGAGGCCGCTACGGCGGCACTGCGTCTCCCGGTAGATGCTAAACAGGCACTCACCATAAAACGACGTTCCATCTGTTTATCTAAGATCCACCGCAAGTTCTCTATCCTAGCCCCAGCAGATCTTGCTAACCCTGGTTAGTCAATATTTGGCTCTGCCCAGAACGAGCAGATAACTAAGTGAGCGGAACCGGGCAAGGCCTGGGCCGATGTACGTCATACGCTGCCTGCAAGTCATGGCCATGTGGCTGGAAAAGACAGACGGCCGCCAAGCTTTCAACAAGACCAGAGGAATAGCAACACCAAATGCCGCAAGCCTTCGGAGGCTTCCCCTGTGCCGTTTTTTTTAGGGGGACGAGCCCGAAGCAATGGGTGGACCTCCGCAAGCCATGTCCCTCACCGTCCACATTACTCCAAGAAGCCGCAGTGTCAACCCCGGTCACACCAACAGCCCGACAACAAGCAAGGCCCTCCGAAGCCAAACAGCTTGCAGGCACTACCACCATACCTGCAGTGTGGATGCACCCAGTTACCCAAGTGGGGTTTGGACTGGAGGTTGGCCGCCTCGGAGGTCCAGGGACGTCCGAGCGGCCTAATTGGTGGTCAGACCAGACGCTGGCGTCAGCTGACCGAAGACTCAGAAGTCACGCAATGTGTGCGAAGGTTTTGCGAAGGTTTTGCCAGGAGCCAGTCCAGTGATGGAAGCCACTCCCCAGGAAGATGTCCTAAGATTTGACAGCAGTGGTGACAGAGGAAGTGGAGGCACTGCAAGAGAACAATGCCCGGGAAAAGGTAACCCTGGCACACCTGGCTTTCTCAGCCCACTGTGTGTACCGAAAAAGAACGGTAAGATGCGCCCAGTGGCCGACCTGCGGGAATTGAACCGGTTTGAGCAATACCACAATTAAATAATGGAAGGTATTGCCACCATGCGGGAGGCACTGATACAGAACGATTTTATGGTGAAAGTGGACCTAATCAACACATACATGTCAATGCCAGTGCATCCAACCCTCCGTCGCGTCCTTTAGGTGCTGTGGCAGAGTCGGTAGTACCGATTTGCGCCTGTCCTGTTTGGCCTGGTATCTGCTCCACGGCAATTCACCAAG